GGAAGAGGAGGAGGAGGAGGAGGAGGAGGAGGAGGACCCGCAACGGGGCCCACGCCACTCAAGCCCCCTGCCGTGGGAGGCAGCCGGTGGAGGAATGCGAGCCCAGGCCTCCCTCCGGCAGAGCTGGTTGCTCCGCAGGGACGGATGGGGGAGAGCACGGCCCTCAGAACCCTGGAGGGATGTGCGAGGGCTCCTCCTCTCCGCCATTCGCCCACCCTGGTCTCCCCCTCCACCCCCTTCGGGGGAGACCCCGCGAGCCACGGCAGGGTCGCATTCGGAAGTCCTAAGCACCCCAGGTGTGGGGGGGGGAATCATGCATCGTAAGCCCGTGCAGGCGGACTGGCCCTGGAAGGCAGGGGTATTCTTAGACCGCCCGCCCGCCCTCCACGAAGCCTTCAGGGCTGGACCTAAACGTTGTTGTTCGTTTTGTGCTCGTTTTGTCGTTCCTGTTGCTCTACCTGTTTTCCTGCACCCGCCTGCCAGAACAAAAAACCGAAGTACAGTCAAACAGCGTTTAGGTCCAGCCCTGAAGCCGTCCTGGGAGCCTCCAGGACCTTCCAAGAGGTCCACTGCGCTCTTATGCTGTCGCCACATTCGCTGCTCCCTTGCTTGGACGCCCTCAGGAAGACTTCAACGAGGACACGTTCTCCCCGAGCTGGGTCGAGCTTCCTTGCAGGCCCCCCTGGGAAACACCTGAGACGAGCACCGAGCCCCTCTCGAGCCAAAAACGCCAAGCATGTCGGAGCAACGGCTGCGAGGTCAAATGTTTGGACGCATCAGAGGCCCCCAGAACTCTCGACACAATGTCAACCAGGTACTGTAGGCACTTTTGACTAACAAGAAAGTCGGCGCACCCGTCAAAATTGCAGCCGTGGGACGGAGCATCTTGCATATTCTTTCTCTCCAGCTGGAACTGACAACGTCCTGGCTCACGACGTCCTGGTCACTGGGACCCTGGCAGCACCGAGCCCGGAGACCCTCGGAAGCAGAACGCACTGAATAGTCGCGGTCATGCTCTGCCTTGAGTTCGCAAGGTCACGGGGTCTGCGGCTTAACTATCAGGGGGACGTAAGACCTGGGTACAGGGGACTCGGAAATCCCCGACGAGGTCGTCAAAGAAATGACGAGGCCGAGCCTGCACTTTGACGAGGCCTCCCGCTGCAGACATCCCACGAAACTCCTCCTCGTCAAAATCCGAGGCGCGTTCGTCAAAAAACGATGGCGAACCCGAGTCCTGGCAAACCCAGGTCTTACGCTCCCCCGAAATTACGGGAAGGTCCTCAAGCCAACCAAGCCGACACACCAAGCAAACCCACAACCCTCGATCATCGGTCCTCCGTGCCTGCCCCTTTCCTCCTCCCGAGAAGAGCCGCCCGAACACCCCGATCCTCCCCATCCCGCCCCCTTCTCCCGCTCCTCCTTGTCATCGTCGAGGTCGTCGTCGTCGTCGTCGTGGAGGTCGTCGTCGATGTCGTCTTCTTCTAGACGAAGAAACAACGCCATAAACATAAACTGTTGGCGCTGCGCGCGGATTTCTTGGATCCGCGCTGGACCCCCCTCCATGGCGCGCTCCAGGCGCCAGGGAGGAGACGCGCGCCAATTCGCCGGCCCAACGGGCCAGAGGCGTGCTAAGATCTCCGGTAACTTGTTAACAATATTTCTAGTTCGCGCGCGCGGAGCGGCCCCTGGGGGCCCCCGGACGAAAAATACCCCGGCAAGGTCCCGAGAGAAGCCCGGGAGAAGCCACCAGACCACTCCAGGGGAGGGCATTTTTCGACACCCCTCACGAGGATCGTGGCCTCCGAGGGGGGAGCCGCAATCGACTACCCCCAAGAGCCCCCCAAGAGGCCCTGGGGGCCTCCAAAACGCCGCCAAGGAGCCCCAAGAGACTCCCAAGAGGTCCCCAAGAGGCCCCCAAGAGGCCCTAAAGAGGGCTCCAGGGCCGGCGGCATGAGCGAAGCGATTAATTGATGTTTACGGCATTTGTTCTTCTTCGATCTTCGCTGTCGTCGTCGAAATCGTCGCCGTCGAGGCGGCCGCCATCGGCGCGGCAGCACGCGGTTCTGTTGGACGGTGGCGCTCCCATGGGAACAAGGGGAGGGGGCAAGGCTTCTTAGAATTAGGTCGGGCCTGTCCCCCTACAAAGGGGTTTTGGACGACGAATTACCCCGAAAATGCAAAAAAAGGTCAAACATTTCCAAACAATCGTCCCAAAATTATGTATTGACTATTTTGGAACACTCCTCTTGTAGAGTGACAGGCCCGACTAACGAATAGGGGGAGGGGGCCGGCTTCTTGAATGAGACTGGTTTCTTAGAATGCGTCGGCCCTGGATCTACAGATAAGGCCCGCGCCTCCCAAGAGACAGGGATGCTTCTCAGACTCGGGGACACGAGAGACTCGGGGTCGGGTGACTCAGGTTGACCTGACGGGGCCATCACGAAAATGCCGAGACCCGATCTGAAATTTGACGCTCCCGTTGCAAAACACTGGATCCTCGAAAACCCAGGACGCGCTCGTCAAAGCGCGTGGGCAAGCCGAGATCCAACACATTCGAGTCTTACGTTTCCGTGAAAGAAATCTCCCCCCCTCCCCCTACGTCAGGTTCGTGTCGTGCCGACCTCGTCGTTGGTTTCTGACACCGCGGGGACCGTTCAACCTTGAACGATCGGCCGCTTCCGAAACGTGCAAATCGTTCCACATCGACCGATTCCGGGTCGCCGGCGGCGCTCAACGTTGAACGCCGGCGGCGAGGTCGCCGCTGGTCGGCACGACGCGCACCTATACCGTACACCCCCCTCTGCGAGTGGCCGAGGCGCGCGGCTCTGTTGTGATGGGATTACTTTCCACCACCACCACCATTAGCTGGAGGGGGAGGGGGTCCTCCTCCTCCTTCTGCTCCTGCTCCTCCTCCTCCTCCTCCTCCTCCACCTCCTCCTCCTCCTCCTCCTACTCCAACTGCTGCTGCTAACGGTCGAAAGAGACGATGCCTGTAGTCATGCACACATTTCCTGCCCCTGCCACCTGGCAAGGACCTGGGTGGGAGGTGAGACTCATTAGGGAAACGGTGAGAAAAAGAGGAGAGGTAAGACACAACAGTGCGGCGCGACCCCAGTAGATGAGGAAGAGATGGAAGGAGAGGTAAACACTCAACTTCCTTCCTCCTCTGGATGTTATCCTCCACCTCCTTCCCCCCTCCAACTTCTGGCGGTGGTGTTGGTGGAAAAGAGGCCCATGTTGTTGGGCGACGGCGCCGTCGGTGTTCAGCTTCCCCTGCTCGTGCGGCGGCGGGAGGTCCACCATGTTCCCCCTGCTGCGAGGCCTTCGGGCGGGGGGAGCGGGGGCGGGCGGGGAGGAGAGGCGGGGCGGGGGAGAGGAGCAGGCGCGAGGTTCTGGCAGCCCCGAGCCAAGAGAGGAGTCCTCACGCCAAGAGAGTACAAACCGACAGACGCTTGCCATGAGTAGGCCCTTCATGTCCTTACGCCGTGGGTCCCCCCGACAAACTTCTGCACGCACCCTCCGGGGGAGGGTCGCGCAGTGCAGAGCGTCGCTGGCTCTCGGGGCTCTCAGCGGTGACTTTCAATACCCCGCCACGTGCTGCAGCAGACTCCCAGGCATGCAAGCACGCGATGTCCCGATCTGACTCCACTCGGGGCCCCCAAAGTCCCGAGGAGGAGGAGGAGGCGGAGGAGGAGGCGAGGGAGGAGGACGAGGAGGAGGAGGAGGAGGAGGAGGAGGCGGGAAAGGAGGGGGAGGAGGTGGAGGAGGAGGAGTAGTAGTAGGAGGAGGAGGAGGAGGAGAAGAGGAGGAGGAGGAGGAGGCGGAGGAGGAGGAGGAGGAGGACCCTTTCCTTACATCTGGCGCTGCATCGCGAAAATCCTTGCTCGACGGCCCAGGCGCCCGGCGGGGGCCCCCGGAGACAGAGAAAACGCCCCCTACAAACCTCCCCTGCCTCGACGTGTGTCAGCGACGCGAGCATGAGCACGTCTGGGCATATGCTGCTCCCATCGTACCCTGAGATCCTGGCGGTGCAATTTTTTCGCAACGGGGGTTTTAGCTTAATTTTGGGACCCGGGACCCTCACAGGTCGATCCGGCTCGAAAAATGATGCAGAATGACGCTGTCCTGGGCTCTGGGCGTGATTTGTTGCGATGTTGCATTTTTCGTTGCAACGTCGGATCTCAGGGTACTTGAAGGCCAAATCCCAAAATAAATTTCGAGCACCCGGAAAAGTGTCGAGAGAGTGCCGAAGCAGTGTCGAGGCAGGGTCGGACGAGTGTCTCCCGGGGCCCGACACGTGAAACCCCTCGAGTTCCGGTGTTTTGCTGGTGCTCGGAAGTCTTCCTGGTGGCCGAGGCTGGACAGCAGGCTGGAACAGCAGGATGTCTGGGCCCGCCACCCGGAGCGTCCCCCCTCCCACGCGCCAGCGCACCCCGGGCACGCGGTCGCAGCGCCGCGAGGGCGCCCAAGTGGGACAAGGCGATCGCGCCTCGCGGGCCTCTGCACCGTGGGGGCCGACCACACGCTCCCGGGCCGCGCGCCAATGGATGCCTCCTGGGTAGGGTCGGGGTAACCCGGGTCGCAGGATCGCCTCCTAGATAGGGTCGGGGTAACCAGATAGGCCTTCCAGATAGGGTCGCATCGCCGATGCATCGGCGATGCATCGCCGATGCATCGGCGATGATCGGCGACATCGGCGATGCATCGGCGACGCCAGCGCGGATAACGTCGGGCTCCATATCGAGCCGCATCGACGATGCACCGACGATGCGGCGGAGGCCGCCGACCCCACCTGCTCGGACTCCATCTGGGGGACAAAGAGTCGAGCGCCGAACCCGTGGGTCAGCGACGGGGCTCGAGAGGGGCGGGGGCCCAGGGAACGGCAAGGCCTCGGGTGGCACACAGGCAGTCCCCCTCAGGTTGTCCCAGCTGGCCTCAACAGGCCCCCCCGAGTACAGTAGGATTCTCGACCGCAAGAGACCTTCCACGATATGTCCAACCCTGAGACCCCAGGGCCCTCCATGGATGTTTGCTGCGGGAACGTCGCGCTGTCCATAGCAGAACCATGGAAGCCCGAGAAGCCCTGAGCACCCCGGAGGCAAGCAGGGTGTTTCCCTAGAGCAGCAAGCAACCACGCAAACACAAGCTCTGGGAGGTCCGCGCGGAGCGCCAGACACTCATGCTTTATGGCGCTTCGTCTTCTTCAATTGATGGCACAGGCTTCCACGGCTTCCCAGGCAACAGACCCCCCCGAGCAGCCACGGGCGGCCTCACCACCTCAGCGCCGCCTGCGGCGGCGCCCCGCCCTGGACTGACGAGGGCGGCCGTCGGAGGCCGGCCGGAGCTGCCGTCGAGTAGGGGATCGACTGCAAACTTGGCTTTCTTCATTTTTGATCTGTTCGTCGGATCTGCGGAGCACGCGTGCACAGTTCGTATCTCTGCGGACATGCCTCGCATGTTGTTGACATCCGACGAGAACAGCAAGTGTGGGACAGGTCGATTCTGTAGTCGATCCCCCACTCGAACTCGGGGGTCTCTTGATACCAGCCGAGACTACCTGAACAGGCTTGACCTGGCCTGGGTTGGACTCGGGTGAGGTACGCGCCCCTGCTGCAGGTGGCGGACCGGGTCGGAGCAGACTGGACAACGTGCAGAGGTCAAGGCAAAATGCAGGGAGCCCGCGCTGCGACTCGATACGGATGGGCCAGCAGGCCCTAGGAGCGAGTTGCACCAAACAGGTAAGGTTCACCCAAGGGTCCCTTTCCTGCCCCTGGGGGGCCCGCCTCTGAGGGCCCCACCCTGAAACAACCGATCACGCAATCGTGCCGCGGGGATGTGGGCCACGCCGCGCTGCGGGCCAGGGCGGGCCGCGGACCTGCAAGCTGTGCACCGTCGCGCGGGAAAAACAGAAAAACAGCCGCGGATGGGGAGGGCACCGACCGTGGCAGCCACCGCCGTGCCTGCAGCGCCCGCATCCCTCTCCGTCAGCCTCGCTTCTTGCGGAGGAGCGATGAAGTCCGCCCCCCTCTCGGCGCACCGAGCCCGGTATACGGTCATGGCACTGCCACTAGGAACGCTGAAGAAGGAACGAAACCACATTTCCTCTGATTATCGAAACATACACGCCTAAGGAATGGACGAGACCCATTCTGGAGGCGTGCCCTCGTCTTTGCCCCTCGTCCGGAAAGGGGCCCCTTCCCTCTGCCGAAGCAGGAGGGCAGGGCTTCCTGGCAAACTTGCGGGGGAAAACAAACATACCCAACGAGCATCTTCTGAATCCCAGCTGGACCATATTTGGAACGTCTTGGCTGTGCGCGTATCTGTTGGCCCCCCAACAGCAAACCTGACCGAGAACCAATCAAGACCGGGCAGATCCTTCAACAGGTGACTCCCGTCTCTCCCCCAACACCCACTCCCTCGCCGCGGGGGGGAAAGGAGGAGGAAAAGAAAGAGGATAATGAAGATAGTGGGGAGGAGGAGGAGGAGGAGGAGGAGGAGGAGGAGGAGGAAGAGGAGGAGGAGCAGGAGGAGGAAGAGGAGGAGGAGCAGGAGGAGGAGGAGGAGGAGAATTGTTCGGGAACGTTCTGTCACACCAGAAGGCTTGCAGAGGCACACGCGAACGACGAAGCTGAGCCGCGCCATACTGGGCACCGATGCCCCCAGTGCGACCTGGCCAGCCACGCCGGATGCGGCGAATCCCTCTACGAGCGATGGGGAAACGCTGCGCGGACCGAGGGCCGTGCCAGACCGCACGGCGGAAGACCACACTGAGCTGGGCTCCGAGGCGCCGAGCTCGACATGCCCCTCCGGGAGGGCCACGAAGAGGACGAGCACGACTTCGCCGACGATGGCCCTCCCGCCCCAGGTGCCCGCTGATACGGTGAGGGGCATCTTTGGAGCACTGCGCAGGCGGACCCTTGCACGCCTGCGCTCGCCACAGGGCGGCGCTCCGCGCAGCTGCCGCTCACGGCACACGGGGCACCGCTCCGCCTTGCGAGCCAGGCACAACGCCGCACACATGCGACGGGCACGGCACGGCCGCTGAGGCTTCATGGCGTCCGCCAGCTCCTTCCTGTCCTGCGAGGTGGCATGCGGCTCGAGCGCCGTGCCTCGGCCTACACCTCCGAGCACACCCAGCCCGTTGCGCACCACCGCCGCATGGTCCTCTTCCTCCATCAATTCCATGAGCGTCGCATCCCCTTCCGCCTCCAAAGCGTCGATGGTCGCACCCGTCCCGCATCAACGAGAGAGTCTCGATCGCATCGACATCCAGCGGACGGAGGCGAAACTCGCGCACCTCGGGCACGAGATCCGCGAGGTAGTCGGCACCAGGCCTCAGAATGTCAATTCTCGGTCCCTTTGAGACGACCTGCGCTGCTCGGCCTCCAGGTGCACTGGCGCCGCCGAGCCTGAGCACCCCGCCAGCGCGCCATGGCCCGCGGGCTCCTGCCCGAATCCCTCCGAACAAGAGCGGCGATCAGCGCCTGGCCACGCCTCCGCCGTAGCGAGTTTGACGACCCGACGAACGAACGGCCGCGCTCTCCTAAAAGCGAGCGTCGGCAGCAGCAACGCATCGGGGAGGCTGACCCACTCCGCGCACTCCTGGGTGCCGCGCCGCTCGGCCAGGCGCACGAACGACTGCTTGCACCGCGGCCCGCTCTTCGGCACCAGCGCTGCCGCTGGGAGGCCGACCCAAACCGCGCATTCCAGGAGCTCGGCGTTCGCAGACCTCGTCTCCAACGAGGAAAATGCGGCAGCCCTGGCGGAGCAGGAGAATACCACCGCACCGCATGTACACGTTGCATGCAGGGCCAGCCAGCGGCGCGTGGACGGCGCGAAGATCGGCGCGTCGGTGTCGAAACGGAAATCCAAACGCCCTCCAGGCCCGGAGCCGGTGGCCGCGCCGAGGCCCCGCGGCCGCCAGCTGCTCTCCGAACCCAGCGGCGCGGGCGAGGGCGCGCCGCGCCGCGGCATCGGAAGCCGCCCGCGCCCACCGCGCCGCCTCGCCGCGCTCCGAGCGCAGGCGGCGGGGGAACACCCTCTCGGTCCCCACGCGAGCCATCCCATGCGGCTGAAAGCAGGCGAGATACAAGGCATGAGCAAAAATGGCTACGGACGGTGAAGGCACTGGATGAGAAAACATGGATACGGAATCCAGGGTCTCGAAGCCAGTGGAACTTCGGTCGCGGATCGGTAATGGATACCACCGCCACCCTTACTAGAGAAGGATCCCCCGAGGGTCTGATGGCTCCTGGGCACAGCGACCCTGGCGGGGAACCGCCTTCGCCCTAAACCCAAGGAAAGGCGGCGCCACCACTGCAA